TATATAAATATAATATTTTATATATAAATCTTTTATATAAAAAAATCTTTTATATATAATAAAGAGGCGACGTCGTCAAATTATATATATATATATATATATATATATATATATATATATATATATATATATATATATATATACACCGAGCGGTATACCGAATGATATATCGCTTGGTATACTGTACCATACCGTACCGAGCGAATGCCGAAACGTTGGTACGATACGATATTTCAAACCTTGATTAGAAGTGTCCACTAATATTCTGGAACAGTGAAACAGAACAATTGGATTATAGATATTTTAAACAAAAAGGATGATTGTATTTACAAGCTCTAAAATGGGAACTGTGAAATGTGAATCATTCATAAAAAAAAATGGTTCCTTATGAAAGGATTCTTTAATTTACAATCTCTAAAACATGAACTGTGAATCATTTATGAAAGAGTGGTTTACCAGCTGTCCAGGAACAACCACTATGGAAATCAGCAATATGGATGTAGGCTAAATTTGAACATAACAAGGAATAAGTGCCTTTTTGTTTTAAATATTGCCTAAACAAGTTACCAACAATGATAAGGGCAGCATGCCAATCCGAATTGACAATAAACAAAAGCTACAGTTGAGTTCTTTTGAGTCAAATCAAATTGTCATTATTCAAAAGGGATACAAAATCCTATTTAGAGTTGTATTAATGCAAGTTGCAATGAAATCCTACCATGGTTTGTAGAAACATAAATATTACTGTCCCATAAGTTATTTTAGTTTGCTTAGTATGTCTGTCTAAGAATGAACTGTTTACTTTTTTATCAAGTTGTCATATTCATACTACAACTAAGATTTAAGTTCAAATCTAGAGGTGGCTTTACATGGGAGTATGTGGAATTACAACTTCTCCGAAAGAACGAAAAGTTTCATTCCTTCAGTAAGTTTAGAAGTTGGGTCTATAAAGTCTTAAACAAATTTTAGAGATAATTGTAATAGGTTTTAATCTGAATAATAAAGTTCCATTGACTTTAATTTATCTCTTTTCTGATGTTCGTTCTCTTTCTCTATCCTCTTCTATTTTTTGCAAACTAAGTACTTTGTAGTTTGTACACTGTTAATTGTCTAATGACATGGTTCTCGAATGAAAGAAGTGTATGTTGGCTTGACATGAAACGATTAAAGATGATAACAAATCAACCCAGATATTATACAACATTTTGCATGCTTTACCTTTAGAAATTCTGCAATTTGTGCGGCCCATTGTTGTTGTTCAAAGGAACTCGAACTTCCATTCCAATTGAAAAGTGAATTCCCAGATTGCAAAATGAAACAATCTGTGGAACTTAATGATGTTGCCACCTAAAACAGAATGATTATCATTGTATTGTAGTGCTCATGCATCCAACTCAAATTCATATATGCATGTACAAAGAATCTTTCACAGAAATGGCAATCTAAGTGCAGATGATATTTTCTTAAATAAAAATGGAAAGGTTCCATGGTGCTCATCTGCCATTAAATGAGGACAATACTTTTGTTAAATAAAAATGAAAATGTTCCATGGTGCTCATCTGCCATGATGGCTTATTAATGTGGCCTGAACAGCTTAAGAAGCTACTGAGGAAACCAAGATTGATTACTTGCAACCTTCTGGCATGTCAAGTGCCAGGTTAAGTCTTGTAGTGCCCCTCTTTGTTGAACTATACCTTCTATTATGCATATAGTGAGAAGTCCTGGTAGTTACTCATTAGTTGATGATCTATTGATATATTACTGGTAGAAGTCAGTTACAGAAATAGCTAAGCATGTTGCATTGGACGATCAACCAATAATAGAACATCCATAAGACTCAATAACAAATTTTAGCTGCCATGTGAATTATTCTGTGCTCTCAAGCAAGGTATGCAATACCGTACCGTACCGGTGTTTCGAGGTTGGCTCAGTATGGTACGGTACCGGCATACCGAGCGGTTTTAAATATTTTTTCCTCTACTGTAGCGCTGTAGCACTGCTACAGTATAGCACCGTAACACGTTCCATCTAGTAGCGAGCAGTCCGCGTATCGGTATGCCGTCGGACCAGTACGTACCACCCATACCGGATGGTACCATTTGAAATTGCATACCATGCTCTCAAGTAAGCATAAAACCCTTCAATGTCCCAAGATATTCCACGTATCAACTCATGTTGGACAATAGAATCGGAAGAGCTTTCTTTATTATTTTTATGAATTGAGTCATAAAAATGTTTAAAATTGTGAATTACTTCTAAACACCACTTAAATTTTTGTTTGACTACCGGCTTAATTTGTAATATGTGAGATGATAAGGTACCCAGAATGACAGGAAGTAAAGTTTTATCTTTCGTACTATATAAGCTAAGGATGGCACCAAGGAAAAATTCTGGGCTCAGACAGAATGATTTCATCACTTGCCCCTGCAACTGGTCTGTCATAATTTATCTGCTCAATCTTAATCTTCCTGAAGTTGCTTTTCTATCATAACTTTGCTACATAATAGTTCTTGTTTCAAGAAAGAGTTCAAATGGATAAAATGGGTCAAACATAGCAAGTAATCTACAAAAGATAACTTTATATTTGAGCAATTTTTGCTCAGGAAACAAGGGTAAGCACCATGGTTCTACATTCCACCCAGACCAGTACATACCATACCAGGAGGCATATACTGGTCCACCAGCTGACTGAGTCGCGGACCGCCCTGAACCGAGCAGTCCAGTAGTGGAACAGGGCTTACCGTGCTGGTAAGCATGGTGAATCAAGCAGTAAGCCCACCTAGGGGTAATTTACCTCAAAGACAGGTGTAAAAGAGGACTTTTCAACCATATCTTCAATCACTTTGCCCAAACCTGCCTCTTATCTCTCTTTCCTTTCACTCAAATCTCTTTCAAATTGAAAAATTAGTTGAAGGAGAAGCCCAAATTCTCAAGGTGAATGTTGGAATTGAAGATCCAGCAGAATATTTCTTCAAAATTAGGTTAATCAGGTCCTTATTTCTTAGCCTGATAATCTAATTTTAGGCTTAATTAGGCCAATATTAGACAGAGTTCTAAGATCTATCTTCAATTTACACTTAAAATAGGGCATGATCCATAATAATAAACAATGCAGATCTTACCCTTGCAGATCTATCCCAAACGTGAGCGTATAAAATTAGGTGAATCCTTGCATGGTGATAGTTGCTCATTCTTTTCAGAGACAAACATATCTTATGACATGCAACAAGAGTACAATTGTGATAGACATGGCTCAAGCATGCTACAGCCTACATAGCCGCATTTGCCACGATCCTACTTGCCTGGGGAACATCCTACCACACAGAGTTCATGTGTTATGTCATGGTACACTGTTTATCAGCATCAGATGTCATGGGAGCAGCTTCATACTTGAGTCCCATAGATATACTGCATTGATCTACAAATGTACCCGACCGACCCACCGTGCAATCGAACTGGTAGGAATAGGCATATGATTTCATCATAAAATCATTTACTACGTACCATGGTTTCCAATACTGTACCATACCGCTTGATACGGGTGGTATATACCGGTCCGATAGAGGACTAGTACGGGTGGTATATCGGTACATCTTAGTGTACCATATGTTGGTACGCTCAGTACAGTTCGGTATGTACCGTACCAATGGCTGATCGGTATACCGGTACGGTACGGTATTCAGAACCTTGCTTCATACAATGGCTTAGATGACTATTAACTTATTTGTGTATTGTGATGTCCGTATATTACAATGGCATGTTCCAATGTAATATATGTTGTTTTACAGACTTAAACCACTTGAATTCTATGAATCTAGTTTTAATTAATCTTTAAAAGGTAGGAAACAACCATGAGCTGGGGTTATTTAGAATTTTTGACTGCCAAAATCCTTGAGTCCCACCATGGTACATAGTGACATATTAAGTACATATTATGTGTTGGTGTGCTGACACATATCAGACCCTTACCAATTTGGCTGAAGACCGGCATGGGTCCAGCACCCAAAACTGTAAACCATGGTAACCATCTCCAACTTCCACTACTCTATGGAGGTGGTTACCTTCTTTTCCTAGCCAAAATTGCAAAAATATGAAATTCATTATTAGTTGAGAATATTATATGGATTCCTATCAATATTTTCTTTTCCAACTTCCATTTTTCAGATTTCATTATTAAGTTGAGAATATTATACTATATTGTTATCCATTATAATAAAACTAGTTCGAGCAATTAAACTAGAGATCATGATGCCCGCGAACACAATCCAGCATGTGCTGGACTTTACCAAGCAATGGTGATGACATTGACACATGACCAGGGTAATTTATCCATGTGTTGGCCAACAAAGAGGGCATGCTAAGTTGCTAACCATATTGGTAGCAGCATATGTGCTCTCACCAGAAAACCAATTACTTCTTTACGTGCATGCATAATGACATAATTATGCAAAACAATTATTTATTTTATACTTCTGAGATATGCAGATAACAGAGTTGTTTTGCTAATATGTCAATATTCAGAATGGACAAGCTTCAAATTAATAAAATGTACTAATAAGTAAGATTCACATGTCATACCGCATCAACTTGAACTGCTTTATTGTTGTAGACTGATGCACCAGATACTTGCATTAGTGCAATGCCATCAGAAGTATAAGTTTCATCATTCAGATTCTTGTCTGCAATGAACTCTTTATAACCAGAGCTGATTCCACCCTATGCAACAAAAAGTTTTTACTCAACAAGATAGCTCCTGCTATTTAGGCAATAAAAGAATGGCACTAACAGATTTTTTTTTTCTAATTTTGTATAAAATAATAACATTAAAATTAGGGTATTGATACCTTCAAAACAACCATGGGCTGAAAGAGTGCAATGAACTGTGGCGGTTCTTTTCCTTGAAAAATGCGGCCCTGCAGGAGACATGGTTCAAATAAAGCTTCTTCTCCTTCTCATTTTCTGAGTAAAAGATTAAAAGTATGAAATACCTGCACTGGTCTTTCTTTTAAGGAACTCCACATTGTATTAGCCAGCTGAGTAGCCATCATTTGGTCATCCTAGAAAGAAATAATATCATATTATGGCACCAAGTACACCAAGCCTATTTAAAAAGCTGAGTGAATTGTTTTTGAGATATTAGTTATAACTCTTAAACCTAGACATGCAATTTTGGTTGGAATAAGAGCTTCCATCTGAAATAGCAAATTAATGTATATCTCTTGAGTTTGCATCACGAGTAGATTTCCAATTTTCTTCATATGGTTGGTAGAGTGGTCACGACAGTTAAAGATGGTGAAATAAAAACACAGAATGTTAGGTTCAAACATGACAATGAAAAGGGGTTGAAGTTCTTTCAGTGTAAATCATAAATTAAAAATTTAGAGAGAAAAGAAACTATGGGGTTTGATTTGTAATGTAAATATTGTCATAGCCTAGCATTAACAGTTTAATCAGACTTGATCTTTGACTTTGTTGGACAAAGTTTAGGATGCTATTTCTTAGGCTGAAAGATGGTAAATATGATGCAAAAATATATCATAAAATTGAATATACATATATGGTTACCCAAGATTTGGACGAAATTTAGCAACTCGTGCAAAGATAAACAGAATATTTCATCAAAATTTGCTAATTAATGGATAATAAGCATACAAATTCTAACCCAGATCAATTAGTTTTTACAAGATGGTAGAGCATATTACAGTTAATCACATTATAATTCAAAGAACTGAGTTGAAAAACTCCTCTTTTCCTTCTTCAATGAGATTTGGTTGTAGCTATTTACCTGAATACTATCATTTCCCATCCAACAGGTTAAGAAGTAGTCTTCTTTCTTCTCACCAGAATGATACGTATAGAGCACAATATAACAATCTCCACTGTAAAATTTACCAATCTCTTCTTTTGGGACTGGACTTTTGGCACTGCTATTAATGCGCCAAACCTGAAAGTGCTTTTACAATTTAGAATTTCAAAAATCACTATCTAGCTTCACTTGCAGGTATCTATAAGATTAACAAAAATGAATAAGAAACCTCAAGTTTTCCACCGCCTTCAAGCAAAGGAGGAACTTCATCATTTAGAGGAGAGCCTTTTGAGAGTCCTTTGATATCAATACCTTGTTGCTTTAACAATGCTACCCAAGCATAACATGATACAAAATTATCCAGAATGAACAAAATCATAGTCAATGGTTCAGATCATTAACAAAATTGTTACTGATACCTGCAACTTTTCCTCGTCCTTCCTCTCCACCAGAGGTTCCTGTTGCTGTACCCGCAGGCCATGATTCAAAGTTGGATTTATATGAATGTGTTTCATAACCTTGAATAACTTGAGTAATGCGTGTTGTTTTTGGTCTGTTTTGACTGATGATGAAGTCCTGAAAAGATTAAGGTCTTTAAGAGAACATATTTAAAAGCACACACCAGAATTGCAAAATAAAAAAGGAAAAAAACCTCTGCAACTTTGCTGGCAGCTTTTCTCTCATCAACTTGTGTCACCCGACCAACCCAAATGAATATCTCAGCCCCACAATCCAGCAAATAGCATTTATTGTTCTCCAACATTGCTTTACAAAGTGTACCTTCTTCCAGCTTCAGTTGACCATCAACGATACTACAAAAAACTTCTATATAACACTTGATAGCAAAACTAACTTCAATATTTCTAGTAAACTAGTAAAACTTCAAATTAGAATAGATGAAAATTACATGCACAATATGTTTAGCATTATACACATACTGAGTATGTGTTTAAGTTTGACCAGAAAGATAACTTCAAGCAACAAAAAAAAATTAGCAATAATAAGTTTTCATGCATGTTTGCAAAAGCGTAAACAAATAGTACAATGGACTAGAAGAAGATAAAACAAGGACAAGAGCACTGACAATCTATCACAGAAGTAAATCATGTTGCTCAGCTGGTATCCGAGAAAAAAAAGTAAAAATCTAATGCTAAGATCCATTTGCTAAGTAGTCATGGTTCTTAGAAACTAAATTCTTTTCCCATCAGTTTGGAAAAGCAGGTAAAGAACAGAGCCATCATTATCTAGAACATTTGATATGGCATATGAACATATGATAATGCTCCCTTCTAATATTAGGAAAAAACTCGTGGTGTTCAAAAGCATAATTTAACACTTGGAATAATCAAAAGCATATGTATCCAGAGAACGAGATTCTAAAATTAAGTTTTGCTGTAAGTAAAAGACAATTGTGGTCTTCAATGTGAAACCATGCATCATTTTCTACCAAAGAAACAGCTTTTTAACCAAGTAGAAAGAAGCACCCTTTCTTTCCTTCTTACTGTTTTCCCCCCTTGTGGTAACATTTGAGTCACAGTAATCCTCTTTCCTTCTTAACATCAATAAGTCAATAAACATGATTAAAAGAAAGCCTCCAGATCAAGGATTGTAATTTTGTACTGTACCGGAGTTTCGATCTTAGCTCGGTACGGTGTGGTATGCTTCGGCGTACCTCTTGATATATGTGTATATATACAAGGTTCGTCGTATCGTACCGTACCGACGTTTCGACTAGGGCTTGGTACGATACGGTACCGATGTACTGGGCGGTACATCAGGGTGTACCGAGCGGTACATCCTGGTCTACCGAATAATTTTATACTTTTTCATACTGTAGCAGTGCTACAGTATAGTACTGTAGCACTGTAGCGGTACCAGGCGGTCCGCGTACCGGTAACCTGTCGAACCGGTATGTACCGCCCGGTACGGGCGGTACGCTTCGGTATGGCAAACCTTATATATATATATATATATATATAATGATAAAAAGTTAAAAAATAATAAAAAAGGTGACGTCGTCTCGTTTCTTCTCCCCACACGGGGAGAAGAAACCGAGGAGAAGAATTCGTATACATATACACATATATATAATAAAAAAAGGTTAAAAAATAATAAAAAAGGTGACGTCGCCTCGTTTCTTCTCCCCACACAGGGAGAAGAAACCGAGAAGGTTTCTTCTCTGGTTTCTTCTCCCTACCCGAGGAGAAGAAACAGAGCGTTCTCCCCACGAAGCCTCGGTGACGTCGCCGAGGCTTCTTCTCCCCGTGTGGATAAGGAGAATTCGTCGAGGCCTCGTCACCTCAGACGAGGAGGAGGCGACATCTCATTTGCCGTGTCCGGCGAGGGAGGGCAGAGACAGATCGGGATCGATGAGGAGAATTCGTCGAGGCCTCGTCACCTCAAACGAGGAGGAGGCGACATCTCATTTGCCGCGTCCGGCGAGGGAGGGCAGAGATAGATCGGGATCGTCGAGGGAAAGCGGTGTCAGATCTTCAGGTTCTCCTTTTTCTTCTCCCTCTTCTTCCTTCTCCCTCGGCTAATACAGCCTGGTAGCGAGCGGCAACGATCAAAATCGACCGTTACCAACCGATTTTCAGGCGATAACAGGACAAAAACATCCCCAATCAATGGTACAGCCCGATAGCGGATGATCCACATATCGGTCTGTTGGCGGGCTGGTACATACCGCCTGTATTCGAAATTAAAATCCTTGCTCTAGATAACGAGAGAATAAGAAAAATCTCCAAACAAATAATCATAGCAAGTCTAGTATGCATTTGCACTTCCAACCAATCTATGTAGAGCTTATAAACGAAAGAAGCCAGTTAACTCTTCCTGTTAGCCTCTCTAGTTTTGAGATCTTTATCAGACTTGATGATTCTTGTATCAAACCCCAAAATAATTTTCTCTTGCCATCATCAACCAGACAAGAATCTGAGATGTAGTACTCCATTTAATTTGAATGGTTTATTGAGACCAAGCTTCCAGAACCCTTCCCTCTCTAAGCAATTATAAAGCACACCAAACAGTGAAAATGCACAGGAAGATAAATTATGGTCAGACTCATCGCCTAAGAGAGAAAACATTAAAAACTCATAGGTTATAAATTACCTTGAAATGATGATCACAGAAAGAAATCTAGGAAACTAAGCAATAAAAGATAATGTAAAATAAGCAAAGAAACCAATTTATTTAGGATATGTACTATTGTATTTTAAAGAAAAAACACCTTTCCCCTAGTAAGGGATATCCATAGATGAGAATATGCCCCCTGTTGATGGCTCTTCATAACTGATCTTTCTAAAGAAACTCATGGATGAGAGAGAGAGAGTGTGTGTGTGTTTAAACTTGTAAGGTAAAAGATGAGCTAAATGACCCAAACAGAACTCCAATAAGCGAATTATTAAAAATCTGTATTTTTATTAGGTAGGCAGCTAATGAGCAAAAATATAATTATTTGAGGCAATTAAGATATGCTGATAATTTGAAACATAAATTAAACTATAAACCAACCCACCAGGCTCCCACCAATATGGGATCTAGGGAGACTCAATATAACCAGCCTTACCCTAACAAGAATATAGGTAATTTCTCTAAAAAAATATAATAACACTCGAAAAGTATACATGAAACACTGTTATGATTAAAATCATGTTCATATAATCTTAGACATTTCTACTAAAAGGTCACAATTGAATAGGAGGCATGATAACTTCCAATAAAAATTTAGTCCAGTAGCAACTAGGTTACCTAACAAGCAACAATGATATATGTTGAAACTAGGAGTATCTATAACAAAATAAAGCATCACATACAGTATGAAACTCATACATGCACTGTCATGCAAAGAGTAAAAATATATAATTATGTATACCTATAAAGCCTTGAAGGAGTGGTCTCTGGAACAACATCATCTTCACTGATAATCTTTTTGCCAATTGGTGCAAAGCCACCAAAAAGGACCCAGAATTCGCCAGAGTCTGACTCAGCTTGGAGCTTTCCATCATCTTATGCAGAAAAACACATGTTAGCAGAAAGAAAAAAAATGCTCACATGTAAGGAATATTCCATAAGAAGCAGGTTCTCTCACCAATAATAGCAACATCACATTTTCCTTCATGGTAGGTGTCCTTCAAATATTGTACTACTTCTAAAGCTTTAGCCCTTTCTTGAATATTAGAGTTAGCACCATTGAACTGATATATTTTCTTTTCAGTATCCAAGATAAATACATCATCATGATTCAGTGATGACCGAGCAAATGGAACCTTTGAAATCAAAATTCTGAAAGTTACCACAAGCATGCAACACATGATTTTGCACATCAAAACTACCCAACAGATCATGGAAAAAATTTAGCACCTGTTTCATTCTGACAACTCGTTTTCCTCTACAAACATATAATCGTGTTTCAAACTTTTCCTCTTCTGGCTTTCTGAATCCAGAAGCAAACCCTCCTTCCAAAGGAATAATGCAAGGTTTGAAGTATGACAATAATTTGTCAGATTCAAAGCCTTGAAGCTCCCTGTGCTGAACAGCACGACCTCCAAGAATAGAATCAAGTTCAACTGTCTTGATTGCTGCAGTCCCAGATTCATCCTGTGATCAATCAAACAAAAAATAAATTTGAACATTGATCTCAACTTCCTCTTTGAATCAAATAAAATCATATATTACTTTTCTAGTCTCCTTAGGTACAATTGGCATACCTGGCTTGACTCTTTTCCGATCCAAAAGTGAATGTCATAAAGGTAGGCACCACCTTTGCCGGAACTTGTCTGCCACAAGTAACTCACCACATAAAAAAATTGAAGCAGATAGCATTAATGAATACAGAGGTGTCGATGCACATTCACAGCTATATACATTACAGAAGATCCTCGGGAGAAATTTATTTCTGTAATAAAGCCAAATTTCCAACGTAAAAAGTGACATATAGATTTAATTCTAACAAGTAATAATTATTTTTTGCACTACAATGAACAAGAATATCTGTAATGCAGTTGCAGAAATAAAACATAGGATATTAAATGATTCCTTAATTATGATTTTAGTTAAAAGCTGTGAAATAATGTAGAAGAGATGGTTAATTCACCATATGAAAAAGAACTACTGGCACAAGCTGATATATTCAGTCATCTATTAACTTCAACAGGGCCTTATCTACATTGCTCCAAATGCTTAAGCTTAAGCAATTAGTAGTAGGCCCACTTGGTCATGCATACCACAGCACAGACCATCACCAATACACCACTGAGGTGTTACAATCTCCCTACTTGTAGGTCTAGCATCTTGTCAGCATAGTTCATTGTAGTAGCTAATCCTGACACAATAGAACAAATCTGTATTATCCAAGGCCAATCCAATTTCGCTGGTCTCTTGGTGATATGATTGGTAATTGGTGGGAAACATTTAGAATCAATGAACACAATTCGAGTTGACCAAATGTGCTAATTGTACAACCTGAAAGGAAGAAAGAGAATAGGAGAGGGAAGGCAAAGATGAATGAACACCAAGATAGCGGAAAGACAAGAAAAAAATCTGACTATGACCATGAAATAGTGAATACTAGTATTTGCTTTATGTTACAACTATTAATTTGTCTTCTACAATCATGATTACAATATCTGCAATTTAACTTTATATAATATAGAGAAGAAAGGGTATAAAAAGAGTTAATGGGAGGATAAACAAAATAGGAATGATATCAGAGAGGGTGTAGATGATATATGATTCACACACAAGAAAATATTTGCATTATCCTATACTTCACTTCATGGTAATTAGAGAACCTCTGTGAGGATTACCATTATTTTGAAAACTAATGGTTGATAATTTTTAAATCTTTGCAATGGTATATAATAGTTTAAACTATCAATTCTTTATAATATAGTATAATTATTATTTATTTTCTAATAAACACTAGTCACTTTTTATGAGTCATTTTATTATTTATTTTATATTTATTTTATCTTTTATGTTTGATTCTCATTTTTTTTCTGGAAAGAGAGAGATACTATGAAATATGAAGTTTTAAAGAATCTTTTATAACAGAATATTTTTATTTTATGTTTTGTGGTGTTTTCTAATTTTATATTTTTTAATTTTTTAATTACTTCCTCAATCTTTTATCAGAAGTACAGAATAGAAGGATGATAAATCAACTCATTAAAAGATCATCAATCAATAATCAATAATAAACACTTAGGTAGTCAAACTTTATTGTGAAGTAGATCCTGAGACATTTTATAGGCAACAATGTCATGTCATCATATTCAGATTAAATCTTTTTCTCCAACAAAGCGATGGGAAAGAGGGTTTCATCTGTGACTTCATCTGGCAGTTATCTTCATGATGTTACCACGTGTCTCATTTAATGCAAAATAGACATAAAACCAGTGTCTGCCGTACCGAGCCATACCGCCCTGTCACGGACAAACTTCTAAACAAGGTGTTTGATGCAATGCTTATATCTGTCCGTGTCTGTTGGCATGTTCATGCCTTGTACAGCATGTAAAGGGGCGGCCGAAGGCTTAATAGTCCCATTTTAGTTGGGTTGGTGGCCTCTTTAGGCTTGTAAATAAAGGTTGTATCATGTGGACATGTGTGAGAGATTTTCGGTCTGTAATGGACCATTTTACCCTTTGTTGTGCCACTGTTCAGAGCTTGTAAAAGTCTGTTTGTAATTTGCATTGTCTATGAAGTGTTTTTCGGAGATGTTTGCTTGTGGATCCCGATTGAGGCGTTCTCTCTAACCCGTTCTCTCTTTTGGTGGTCCTAAGGGACACTGGGAGGCTTCGGGGAGGCTGACCTTTGCGGACGGACACGCAAGGGTGCCGCACGACTTAGGCAAAACCAGCTAAGTTCGTGACATATGGTATCAGAGCGGGACAAGCACTCATAGAAACACTTAGCATGCAAACGTAGGGGACCTAGCGGGACTGCGTTGAGGGCAGTCAGCACACGCGCGACCGTTTGGGGGAAAACGGGCATGGAGATGTAGGGAAAAGGAGTCGCTCAGAGGAGCGAGCATCTGAGATTGGCATTCAGAGGAATGCCCAACCCTTCGCGCAAGAGGCACCACGAGAACAGGCAAGCTTGGAAGAATGTGGAGCGCACAAAGGTTGAGATGGCTGAGTTTGAGCTACGGCTCAACGTTGACAACTATACTTGATGGTGCTCAAGGCAAGCGAGGCGCTTGGTAAAGGATAAGACCATCCAAGGTGGAATGAGTTGCTCAACGACCAAAAGAGTTATGCAAAGCTCACAGAGGTGAGGGGAATTGCTAACTCGAAGAATTTGGTACTCATGCATGGGCTTGTATGCGGACGATGGAATGTTCGTGGCCATCCCAAGGCGACCGAAACTCGGCGCCATGGAGCATTGAAACTTTCTCTTCGGCATGTGAAGGATACGTCCGTAGGAGGCTGAAGTGTGCAATGAGTTCAGCATGTTGCTAGGCCTTGAGGGGTGCAACGGGGGCTGTATTGACGGGGAGTCGCAATCTAGCAAGTGCGTTTGCAGGAGGCAGAACAATGCACGGTTTATTCAGCAGATCGGAGTAGTCCAAGGGGATGGTGGTCTCCGAAACGAAGAGAGATGTTGCTCCAACGGGATAGTTATCCAGGAGGGATAAGTCCCGGCTCTCCAG